GGTAGCCCCCACTCGCTACAACTAGAGAAAAGCCTGCGAGCAGCAACAAAGACCAAGAACAATCAAAAATAAATAAACAAACGTAAAAAAAGAACATACAGAAACAGAGTGGACAGAAAGGAGAGGCACTTACAGCTTGATACTGCCCATCTATATGATAAATAGCTGATTGAAAGCACCTCCAGCAATATACCAAATTCTGAAAATCATTATTTTCCAAGTATCTCTCTCCAGCTGGGGTAAATGTGCATTTGTGAGCAGGTGAAAGACAAATTTTATTGAGTTTAATTGTCTCTATTTTGGCTGCTCAGAACACAATCTTCTCTGAAAGTACATGAAGAAAGAAATTCCCTATCAGCCCCTTTCCTACTTAGGGCTATGAATGACTTTACATACGTGCCCAGTCACTCAGTTGTGTCCAACTCTTTGTGACCCCCTGGACTGTAGCCCGCCAGGCTCCTCTGTCCATAGGTTTTCCTAGGCAAGAATACTGGAGTAGGTTTCCATTTCCTCCTCCAGGGGATCCTCCCAACCCAGGGATCAAACCCATGTCTCCTGCATCTCCTGCATTGACAGGCAGATTCTTTACCACTGAGCCTCTTGAGGATCCCATGAATGACTTTGCCCCTATCTAAACCAGCTAAGGAAAGGCTAAGGGCATTTATCTTATGCTGGTTCTAATATAATATGAGAACATTTGGATGATTTCATTTTTTGTATCTGTCATCAGGGGATATTAATGGGGATATTAATGCCGACTCCGCAGAGGCTTTCTGATGGTAAATCAAATAACATGTTGCCTAGCAGGTAGCTAAACTTCAATAAAAGGTAATGATGATAGTGATGATGATCAGTGTCTCACGAGACAGAGGTGAGTGAAATTGACCTGATTCCGCATGCTTGTAATGGTCTCAGTTCAGTTCAGTCGCTCAGTAGTGTCCAACTCTTTGTGACCCCATGGACTGCAGCACACCAGGCTTCCCTATCCATCACCAACTCCTGGAGCTTGCTCAAACTCATGTCCATCAAGTCTGTGATGCCATCCAACCATGTCATCCTCTGTCGTCCCCTTCTCCTCCTGCCTTCAATCTTTCCCAGCATCAGGGTCTTTTCCAGTGAGTCAATTCTTTGCATCAGGAATTGTCTAGTTCCATATAAGTCTCTCCACTACCAAAAACCCTTATTGTAGATCAAGCCTTTCTCCATAAAGGAACTTCTTGGAATTTGTGAAGCAACATTGGTCCTTCCAGAGCAGCAGTTCAGACTGACCTGGTAACCTCTTGATGTTACCACATTGCTTATTCCTAGTTCTTTTGTGAGGCATAGAAACAGTAGCAATAAAAAAGTTTCTTATAAAATAATGAGCTTTCCTTATTTTGAGCTTTCCTTTGATGCTTGCCACCTCCCTCCCCTTATGGCTCTTTGTCCACCATTGAAAAGGCCAGTGTCCTCAATTTGTGCCCAGCTGGAAAGAGAACACTGAACTGAAGAGTGCAAAGAAGCAAAGGAATCACACTGAGATGATATTAATATTTTCCTTTATGAGACATTTCAGCAGTCATAACAGAGAATGTCTTATGAGCTGACCATCAGTTTCAAATATGGAAAATGCTTCCTGGCTTTGGGGCACTCATTATGCCCTTACGTTTTAGATGTCACTAACAAAGCAAATGAGAGGTTTGTCCTATATAAATAACATATTTAACATAAAGAGAGAAAAGATAAAGGTGACTGCTTCCTAAATCCTGCTATGTACCAAGAGTCCTGAACATTTGGTTAGAGAGTCACTCTTTATCCTGATATTATTCTTATCCCTCTCCAGTTCACTTTCTTTTTTTCATAATGTCTTGCTGTTTTTTTTGTATGATTTTGATACCTTCTTTTATGTCTTTAATCACTTTCAATATACTTCTTTTGCAGTCCATGTTGTCCTGCCACCCAAAGTTCTAAAGTTCTCAGTGGTCTAAATCTGCTGTTTGCTTTGCCTACCTCTCACTCATGGCTTTTAGTTTTATAACACATTGGTACATCTTTGACAGGGCATTCTCTACAAGAAACCTAGGTGACCTATACGAAGCTGTAGCTCTCTGGAGCATTTTTTTGGATTTGCTCCTGCCAAATGTCATGGGGATATTACTAGCTTGAGACCAAGTTTGGTTTTAATTCTTAAATTTCCAAGCCTGTAAAGCATAGTCACAGATTCTCAGGGGAGACTACTTTTTTCCCACCTTTGGGCCAAGAAAAGACAATATGTGGGTTTATTTTCCCTAGGCCATCCTTTTAAAGGTCACGGTTTTACGTCGGGATGATAAGTTCCAAATTCCTAACTTTTATGGGCCCTGTCCCAGTATAGGGGTTTAAAACTAATCCCTGTGATCACTGAGACTGGGCAGTGCTCTTCAACGCAGATACATGTTCCATAGCTTACTCTTCTCATTTCGGTTCCCTCATTGTATCTGGAACTCGGAGGGTTCTGTACTTGCGAGCTTAGCCCTTTTTTTGGTCATGCTATGCAGCTTGCAGGACCTTACTTCCTTGACCAGGGATCAAACCTGGGCCCCAGCAGTGAAAGAGCTGAGTTCCAATCACTGGACCGCCAAGGAATTCCCCTTAGCCACTTATTTAAAAGATGGTATGTTCTCTTTTATTTGGAACATCTTAACATTTTTTGGTGGAAGCCTTTTTTGGGTATCTGTTCCACCATATGACTGGAAATGGAGCTATTAATTCATTCTTCATGCTGCAGCCAGAGAGAACTTTTCAACATACAGATATGATTTTGTTATCAGTCTTACTTAAAACTGGAATTGCTTCCTAATGATCTTAGGGTGGAAACTAAAATCCATAACCTACACGCCCCTGAATGGACATTACCTGCTTCCCCATCCTCACGTTGTGCCATATCCCTTCTCATTCTCCGTGTTCTACTTACACTAGTGTTCTTTCCATTCCTAGAATGTACCTCACTCCATCTTACAACAGCAACTTTGCACGTTCTCTTCTCCATTTCTGTTAACACCTTTATGTTCCTCTAGTTCACTCACCCTTTAGATCTCAACCTGTTGCCATCAAAGTCACGATGGAAGGAAAAGAGAATAAAGGGTCATGTGGGAGATTTTTATGAGCCAGGCCAGGCATGCATCATATCCACCCACATTCCACTGGGTGGAACTCAGTCAGAAGAGCTGGGAAATAAAACATTACGTATGTATTCAGAAAGAAGAGGAGAAAATGGTTATTAGCAGGCACTCAAATTTCTTCCAGGCTTCCCAGGTGGTGCAGTGGTAAAGAATCCACTGGCCAATACAGGAGATACGAGTTTGATCCCTGGATCAGGAAGATCCCCTGGAGGAGGAAATGGCAATTCACTCCAGTATTCTTGCCTGGAAAATCGCATGGACAGAGGAGTCTGGCGGGCTACAGTCCATGGGATCGCAAAGAGTGGGACACGACTGAGCAACTGAGCATGCACATACGCACAAGTCTCTGCCACACCATTGTATTTTCAGCAAAGAAGAATTCCTGACAATAGGAAATTCTCAATAAACACAGATTGAATGAATCAACAAGTGGATAGAGGATAGAGGATGGATAGGTGATGGAGGGTGGACAGATAGTTTTGTTGTCAGTGGGTAGCTTGTTGATTCAGCTAGGCTGTAAGTTCTTTGAGCACAGAGACTATAGCTATACTGTTCATCATGATAGAGGAGTTCTGGGCACATATTAGAAGCTCACACACTATTTGGAAGACTTCCTGGAAGAGATGGGCTCCTAGTGGATATTTAAAGAAGAGTATGAAAAAAATTGGAAAAGCAATTTAAGAAGTGAATTTAAGGAAGGCATGGAATGGATAGGGGGGAGAAGTAGAGGTAAGGTTAACATGAATATGGTTGAGAGTAACAAGAGAAGGAGGCTTCCCTCCTCAGTGGTAAAGAATTTGCCTACCAATGCAGGAGATGCGGGTTTGATCCCTGGATCAGAAAGATCTCCTGAAGAAGGAAATGGCAACACAATCCAGTATTCTTGCCTCTGAGGTCCCATGGGGAGGAGCCTGGCAGGCTACAATCCACGGGGGTCACAAAAGAGTCAGACTCAAATTAGCGACTAAACAACCACAAGAGAAAGAATCAGTGGAGAATGGAGAACCTTACAGGATAATGTCTCACCAGGCTAGCGTCATCTAATCACTAGATCTGCCAGGTCCCAGGCTCCATCATCTTCTCTTTTGATGCATTATAGCCTTAAAAAAAATGCTAGTCACTCAGTCATGTCTGAGTGCCTCCTTGCGATCCCATAAACTGTAGCCCACCAGGCTCCTTGGTCCATTGGATTTCCCAGGCAAGAATACTGGAGTGGGTTGCCATTTCCATAATCTTACACCCAGGAATAAGGGTGCTTCTTTAGTGAAACAGTACCTTTTCCCCTCCTATTTTGATGCTTAGCATCTAAACTGAATCAAATGTGCTCAGAAAGTGTGTATCTGGGTTGGCCTAGAAGCTGACACTACAGAAGGCCGTTTGCCCCTGGCCATGCAGAGTGGTGAACCACACTAGTTCCAGCCCCAGCTGTCAGGCCAGGATTTCGTCCTCGCCCTTCTCCAATCAATACACAGAACTGCCTGGTGCCATCAGGAAGGAGCTGTATTTTTAAAAATGAATGAAGTAGGACAACCAAAATCTTTCCATCTTTTATGTTACCCTCTGCTTTCTGCCCAGGGATGGAGACCCTCAAAAACTAAGATGAGCAACAAGAGGGTGGTGCCACCCTCCCCTGACCCGAGAAGGGGCCGGAGCTACAGGAGTAGTTCTACATTACAGCCCTACATTACAGGCTTCTGAAATGCACCGTTGGAGTTAGTGACAGGGGAGCCGCTCTACCTCTGGGGCTCCAGCCATGCAGTGAGCTTTCGTGGATCAATACTTTAGTCTTGTCATGCTAATTGCTCATTGGTTGACATTCATGATCCTTCCTTGCTCTCTCCCTATGTAAACTCTTTACAGCTGAAACAGCGAGATGCAAAAAAATCCTGAGCCTTCAAAGCCAGATCGTGCAGAAGAGAAAGGGCCTGTCAGCTGAGGTATGGTGCTCCCCCATTTTCTTGCCCCCCCTTAAAAAAAGCTTCATGTGGTTCTGCATGTGACGGTGTAATAGGGAGACACACGAAGAAATGCCTGGGGTGACACTCCTGCAACACGTAAACGATATTACCTTTTCAGAACAAAACAATATCTCCTCTCTTTCTACACCCATCACCACAACCACCCCCCCCCCAAAAAAAAAACAGAAAATAGAAAAATACCCACCCTTTCTATCAGTTTGATTTCAGTCCTTCTTCTGTTTCGGTGAATGGTTTGCCTTCCACCGGCTCACAATGAACATGTACCTGCACTGTCCTCTTTGCTCCCAGACTAAGGCATGTCAGACCGAGCTGCCATGTGCGTGTGTGTGTGTGTGTGTGTGTGCGTGTGTGCGCGTATATGTGTGATCACGCCTACCATATTGGCTTCCTGTCCCTGGAACATCAGCTTTTCTAGCTGGCTGAGCCTGTCCCCACAACCACTTGCCACTGAGACCACACCAACTCCTACCCTGTAAGCTTCAGGCCTGTGCTGTGCAGGGTTTTGTTAAGCCGTTTAGTATTAATTGATTTTTTTTTCCCATTTTTTTCTTTCTTTCCTGGGCGGGTCAATAGCTGGATGCTTCAGGAGCAGAGGATCTATCAACTGCAGACCAGGCATAGGGAGACGCAGGCAGACCTGGAACAGAAACCCAGCCCGCTCCAGCCGCTCTGACAGAACTTGGTAGCCGGATGGTCGGCAGCAGGACACATGCCACGGGCCACAGGGCAGGAAATGACCCAATCCTCGAGGTCTGGTAAGTTTCCTCACTTTTTGGAAAGTGAGGCAAATGATAACCAAGTCTGTCTTTCCTTCCTTGGAAGAGTCACCAGCATTTCTGCTAATTTCAGTTAATGAGTTAAACATCAAAACCAGGATGCCCCCCTCACCCCCGGAGCAGATCTGAGAAGCTGGAGGGGCCGTGAGGGAAGAATGGGAGTTCGCGGGACAAACAAGGGCTAACCAAACTCTGATCTTACGGTGAGCCACTGCAGCCAAGCAGATGTCCTGAGTATCGATCCCTGCGTCTGGGTATTGATTTCCTCTTGGGGCCAAGAGTGGGGTGGACCTCCAGAGGACAAGAGGAGAACCGACACCCTCCCTGAGGGCCGAGCCACCCTAATCGGTGATAACAGTGTTAAGTGGTCAGCCTGGAGAGGAGGCTTGCTTAGATCTATTGATCTACGCTCCCCAGAGATATAAATCCTTCTGAATTTGCTTCCATGGGTATAAATATTTATAATTAAAATAGCCTAGGAGCCTCTTACAGGCACAGGGAGAGTGGTCCATCCAGGAGGGTCTTTGATATTAGTGCCCTCCCTCTCCTGACTGTGTACTCTTCCCCCTCTCACGTATCTGTCTATAAATCGCATTCCTTCTTTTGAACCCCATGTGGCTCACCCTCAGAGTGACAGTCACGATGTCTCGGGTTTATCAGATACTGGGAAAAATCCATCCTTTCCAAATACAGCCTGCAGCTGAGAAAGGGGTGCCTCTCTCCCTAGTCAAGGCTACAGTTTCTGCACTCGGGAGCCTGGACTCAAGAAGGGATGGGCTGTGTTTGGGGGGTGGGGACAGTGAGGGGAAGGCTTCTTGAGTTGTTGCTTTGTTCTTGCTTTCATTGGGGGCATCAGCTTGGTTAGCGTAACAAACAGCTCAAATGTGTTAGCTCAAATGTGTTAACCTGTATCAAGACCCTCTGTCGCCTCGCCTGCTGTGTTAAATCTAGGAAGATAACTTGAAGGACCCCCAAATTCCTGTTTCTCAGCACCTGATAAGTATAAGCTCACATGAAGTGAGCAGAGCATCCCTTTCCCAAGAGTATGAGAAAAGGAAAGATGCTTAGAACTTCTTTGGGAGCAAAGCCCTTGAAGCCAGCCAGCAAGAACAAAACCATTGACCAAAGCTTTGTCCATTATCAGGATAACCTTATAGACGATTGAAAATATTCAGCTTTAATGTTTAGAAATTTGGGTGGCAAGGGAGAATGGTCTTTCAAATCATTTGCTGTGCTACAGAAACCGACGGTCTGCTTTGGTGTCCGGGATACAATCCTTTCCATTTTGGAACTTCTGACTCCTTCTATCAGGCATCTGCCTTACTTTGGTGCTTAAATCTTGAACTGTGTGTCTTTGTGCTTCTGCCTCAGTAGGTTTCATTAATTTGTAATTGATGGCTACAAAATTGTTTAAGGACTTGTAGATTTTATGCTTGTCAAGGGTGTGTTTTAGTGGGTGTGTGTGCACCGTCTAGGATGCGGGGAGAATTGACTGAGTTTTACTTCTCATTTTAGAATGTTTAGCCACTCAGGTCCATCTGTGTGAGTTAGTAAATGTATGTCTTGGTGTCTCTGTGCAAGTGTCTATACTTGGGAAGCAATGAACATAAGCAGGTTAGAGCCCACAGTTCTCCACCATTAACTGTGTCTTTCCCAGATGCATATTAAGCTTTGCTATTTTTTTCTTTTTATTCAGAGGTGGTAGTTTCAGAACTCAAATCTAGCTCATTTGTCTCTTTTAGCAAATGACTGAGGATTAGGGATTATTCCAATTGGAAGTCAAGGGTCAGCATTTTGGACTCCATTGGCTTAGATAATTTATAAAGAATAAAACTCTAATAGGTATAATCACGGTAGCCTTGGCTTAAGAATGTTTCTAGGCATACTTGAGGTTGAAAAACACTTCAAGCTATAAATGGAAGAATGTTCTGGTGAGTAACTTGTATGCTTCTGTGGTAATGGAGAGAATTGGAACGCAGCTCTCTTTGTTTGATTTATACGGCAACATCCTGAATGTGAGAGGTGTATTTTACTGTAGAAATAAACTTTCAACATTGAGCTAGATAATGGAAGACCCAGGCTAGTACTTAAATCCTTCTCTGCTAGGTTATAATGAAAAGCATAATTAAAAAGAATAGTTTTTTTTAGGAAGAAAAACCCTGAGATTGGTCTCTTTTTCCCATTGTGTGCAAATATTTGTCAACATGCACTTGTATGATTTCTCTGAAGAACAAGCTTATTTGGAGAAAGTGATCTAAATTTTAGAACTGAATGCACTTTGCTAATTAAATGTGGTTTTTTGTGATCTTAGGACCCCTAAATCTAAATAACACATACATAAATCCATTGTTGTCTTGTGCTACTGTTCCTACAGGTCATACTTGAAAGCTTGCTGCCCACCATAGGAAAATGATTTTATTATGGAATCAAACAGTGCCTTAGGATAACAATTGTTCAGTGTCTTCAGTCTTGTAGGAATTTAACCCCTATGTTATTGATAGAGTCATATGCTATATTTGCCTTTTATGTTTTAATACATAACGATGTATTTTTCAGTCCCATTTTCCTAATAGGTTTTATATTCAATATATTTTACAGTACAAGGAAAGAAATATTTCACTGTTGTTTCTATAATCATAACATAAAATATAATATCAATATTTCACTGTTATCTCCATGAAAAAATATATGTATCATGTTTCAAGCCCTCCTAAACATCTTGACATTTGATGTTGTCATTTATAGCCTTAGAGCAAACTTAGGAGACAAGTTAGAGCAAGAATCATTATTTACCAATAATAAACATGAACAATGTAACATAGATACTAGTGTCAGACTTGGGCTTATGACTTGAGGCTATGGACTCCTGGTCAAGTGCTCTTTCCAAAGCTGACTGCAGCTACCATTAATGCTTGATAAAATTTTAGCATATTGTGTATTTCCAGCATCTATTACAACCACTAACATGGATATAAGGCGAATGTTGGTTAATCTTAGTTGATCATTAGCTTTCTACTTATGCAAGAAGAGGTTGCAAATATGTATTTCAGGCCTTTAGCATACCATAACTAGCTGCAGAATCCAGTGTCATGACATACCTTTTTGTTAGGCTCAGAAATTCAGTGACTTATTAATATGCCTAGTCAATAGATGTGCTTCCCATGAACATATCCCTGTCAAAACAAAACCATTGTGTACATATTTAGTCTCCATACTTACCAATATTTCCTTTTAAAGAAACATTATATATAAGTTGAAGCATCAAGATGAAGTGCTTAAAATAAAGCATAAACTTTTCCTCTTCCTGAAAAAAGCACTGCTCCCTCCCTCAACCTTCTCACTGCTTCAGGGCTTCTTAACCTTCTCAGTGCTGTGAACCCCACTGCCAGTATGCCATAGACCTGAAGTCTATGGGCCTCTTCTCAGAATATTTCTCATAAATGTATGAAGTAAAATATATAGAATTACAAGGGAAACTAATTTATATTAAAATTCAGTTATCTAAATATTAAAATCAATTAAATATTAAGACCAATTTCTATGTGATATGTGTGATTTTTATTAAAATGTTGATAGTTTCAATGATGGATCTACAACTATAATTTTAAGGTGGTTCTAAGAATTAGAGATATTTTGAGATTACCTACAAAACTAAGATCATGGCATCTGGTCCAATCACTTCATGGGAAATAGATGGGGAAACAGTGGAAGCAGTGTCAGACTTTATTTTTGGGGGCTCCAAAAATCACTGCAGATGGTGATTGCAGCCATGAAATTAAAAGATGCTTACTCCTTGGAAGGAAAGTTATAACCAACCTAGATAGCGTATTAAAAAGCAGAGACATTACTTTGCCAACAAAGGTCCATCTAGTCAAGGCTATGGTTTTTCCAGTGGTCA